ACCAGGAAGAAGCCTACATGACCCAAGGGGTATAAAGAGGGGTTTAGTAGCCCACCCCCTTTGAGCTCCAAACACCTACACCTGCAGGTATTGATTGTCTCCCGAGGTCTGTGGGACGCCCAACCTCGCCCTACTTCTTCCTGAGGGATTGAGAGAAAGACGCTGGCCACGCCAAGTCTGGAACGCAGGGGTGAGAATATATACCTGCTATGTGTCTATTTTGCATGCATTTAATAAGAGCTCAGAGAACCAAAGGGGTTTCATGGTACCTATAAGTGACTTATTAGTGTAATTTCTGTCCTGTCCTTTGTAGTGTCTGTGTTATCTGTAACACAGTAGTAGCATTTAACAACTAAGTTTACCCTGTAACAATAAAATAGTAACTGTTTAAGCTTTAACCTGACTCCTTCAGTTGCTGTACCAGAACCAAGCACAATTTTAAAAGAACTTCAGCCGGTCATAAGGGACAGATATAGGGAGAGCTTGGGCGTTTTGGATTGTGTCGCTTCCAGGGGACAGATCCGTTGGGGCACCTCTCAGCCTCCCCAGGCTGCCCACTGCGAAGGGATTTCTGTATCCTAGCAGCTAAAATCTGAGGTGTTATAACCTCTCCCTGTAAACTTATTGGGGCGCCCGTCAACCTCCTCCAGGTTGCCCACTGCAAGGGACCCCGGTCTCAGCAGTTGAAGTCTTGGGTGTATAACACACACGCACACACTGCCCTGACCGTTGGCTGACACCCTCTACCAGTGCCTATGAGCAATGTTAATTATAGCAAGGGGAAATTGGGAGGGGAAAATAACTTCTTCTGTGATAATTGTAAGCTTTAAATGCTACTTTGATTTTAGCCAAACTGTTTTAGTTCACTTTCTCAGTCAGTGTGATTTCTTCAGCTCCTCTTTAAATGTACTAATGGGGAAAGTCATTTCTATTTTGTTATTCTCAGTTTTTGTATTTTCTTGTAACAGGGTTTTCTTTAAGTCTTTTCACTTCTGAGTTAACGGTCTAGAAGTGACAGTCTAGACAATCAACTGGCTGTCTAGAAGTGATCCACAGCAGAGGAAGAGTCTGTCTGGACTCCAAATGAGGATCCCTACAAGCATGTGGAGAGATGGTTCAGGCTCAGCATCTGGTACAGATTTGATGATGAGACACATACTGAGACTTTGGTGAACTAAATCTAGCTTTTGGGCTCTCCCAGTTTCTCCTCATTGTATTTTGTATGGACTGAACTGTTCAAATCTTACTTTTGTTTTTTAATTTGTTAGTTGTAACTGTGAAGACAATGTGGGTTATAAAATGGTTATGTTATGTTGTAAAAATTAGATTGTTTCTTCATCATAAGATTTTATAAAGTTATTTAATTAAATTAATTTCCTTAGTCTCTTTTGGTACTTGAATGTGGGGAGGTGACACTGCTATCCTGGATAAAATTCCTTAGACTGAGCTCCAGGTCTCCAGTTACTTTCTATGGGAGTTGAGGGATTTTATTTTAGACACAGGAGAAGGGCAGTGAAGTCTAGCCCACCCAAAGGTTACACTAGAATTTAGAAAATGTAGGAAGGATAGGATGTATGCTAGAGATTTTGTGTAAAGTGGTGTAGCTCATTATTTTCATGACCTAACTTCACATGGTAGCTAACTAGTAAATGGGTAAGCTAGCAATCAATACAGAAAGCTGAAAATTACAACTCATAAAGAATTTAATAATTTAATATTGACATTCCTAAATGTTAAAGTATTAAATGAATGACTAACATGACTGAAGTAATGAAAGATGACTCCCTTAAGACAAAACTGTAAGACAATGCATTCCTGAATTATCCTGCTACACTTGAAACTACAATTGAAACTAGACTTTTAAACATATTCCTTAAGACAACCACATGGAGAAACATCTCAGAGCTCCTTTATGATAAATTATAGGAACAGTCTTTTTGGATATGACAGTTACAAAGCTGATTTGATAATACTCAGTAAAAGGATGTCATTTTACTATATAAAAAAAACTTCTTAGAGGACATCATAATCCAGCTAAAATAAAAAAGTGCCAAGCATTATTATTCACCCCCCTCAGTTATAACTATTAACCTACAGATGTGTCTGATCATGCACCAATTCCTTTCATTTGTGAGGGGGACGAACGCGGCAGAGGAAGCATAAAGGGTGTCGGGGCACCCGGGGAAGGGGGTCCGAGCCCGGAGGGGGACGGGCGACACGGACGAGAAGGCCAAAGGGAGCGCGAATGAGAGAGGGACGCGGAAAGCGGAGGCACGGCGGGAGTGGAGGGTAACTACACCGGCTGATAGCCGGCGGCGGAGTGGACCAGACCCAGGGCGGGCCGTGAACCCCGGGAGCAGGCGTGTTTGGGGTTTGTAATCCCCCTGCTACCACTGAGAGTCCCACTCTTAGTGTTAGGGCCCTGGGTCGGGGTCCGGAGAGAGGGTGGGCCCGGACCCCCCACTCCGCCCGGGAAGCACCGGATCGGGCGGTAATTCACGTAGCACAAAGCAACAGTGGGGGCGGGGCGCCCGGCCACGACCGCACCCCTTGACAGATAGGCTATTCTCTTGGGATGCTGTGTGACTTTTGGTCTTAACTTTTTATCACAAAGTTCAGTTTGTCTGGGTGGCACTATAACATGGAATCCCAGACAGTTCCTTTAGACTTTCCAATCTAGGACTGCTACAGTGATCCAGGAGTTTACATTTGTTACAGGCGTGGTAAAATGTAATTATAGAACACACCACCGATTTGTCATGTCTGCCCTGTTTTGTGGCTGGCTGCTCTGAGACAGGCGCTCACAGTTGCAAGCCACTTCAGACAGCACAGCAAAAGGTTCCACAAAACTGGTCATTCACAAGAATGACAAGTCTCAAATGGTGTTTTGGTGTTATTTTTCCTTTGCCTTTCTGACTCCTCTTACGAAACTTCCACAAAATTCAAATAAAGAGAAGTGCTAGACATCCTTAAAGACTAAATCAAATCAGTTACAGATAATGCTCATCTCTCAATACATTGTGGAAACTGGACTTTAAGATACAATAATGACATAACAGTTGGTGTGCAACAAGGAATTATTGTTCATAATATTGATAAAAAATTACACTTCTGCAATACCAATATGGAACTCCTGAAATTGAATGAGCTATTTAGTAACACTGGGGGTGTGGGATATCTTAGAGACCACTATGACCAAATATCATGGCTTCAGACAAGAGCATTAATCCTCTCATACCTAAGGAAAGAAGTAAGGTAGACTGTAGCTTCATATTTTCCAGCAAGGATTGGGGAGGGCAGAAAGGCAGGATGAGTTAATGCTAGCTTGATAAGGTTGAAATTTTACAAATCTAAGATCTGAGAAAAATAAGCTATAATAAGCAGGTTGGTTGTTTAATAAATGGAGATGAAATTGATGCAAATGGCTAATACTAAGTAAAAATAATGAAAAAGGAAAAGATAAAACACTGATTAAATAGGAAAGAAAACCTTGTTATCGATAAAAAGAGATAGGGAAATATTTACACCATTTGATCATATACAAATTGGCTACTTTGAAAAATATGGATACTACAAAATATTAACAAAATTAGCTAATGACTTACTCTATGTACCACTGACCATTATTTTCTGAAATGAAATTCAAATAACTGGCTCTGGAACGTTCCAAAAGATTAGGAAAAAACAAAGTTTAAAAAAAAAAAAAAGGAAAAAAGTGATCACAAAATATTGAAGTTCTATTTTTAGCAATGGAACAAATGAGAATAAATGCACGAAATAGCTACAGAATAATAGGACTATAATGGTAAGTAGAAATTCACCTATGGTAAACTGAGAAAATCCAAATACCAGAAAGAGGAAAGAAAGAAATCAAAAGGACCTAGACAAAGTAGAAACATGGGTAGAAAAAATAATTCAATTCAATGCACAAACATACAGGACTGGAAACTATGAAAGCAGTAATGTCGAAGACTTCAGAATGACAACAGGCCAAAGGTTAGACTTGAACAGGCAAGTATGATTTGAGTTCAATGGTTTGCCTTCACAAAAAGCATCATTCCAAGGAGTGTGGAGGTAGGTCTATAGTACTCTGGTGAGACTTTATGTAATATGTTCAGTTTTGGCAATTAATTCCTAGAGGAATCTAAAGTTAGATATCAGTGAGAAGAACAGAGCAACAAGAATGACCTTCTGCTGTCTTCTCTATAATCCATATTATATTATATTTGTTGTTAACAAACTTTGGAACAATGCAACTTCTAAAACCTATATAGAAAAACCTATCTGACCAAATGTGCACATGCCATGTATGAAAACATAGGGTGGAACAATTTTAAAGGATTTTTCAAGAACATTTCCAGACAAGATTTGTGCCAGGATTTAAAAATACATTTTAAACAATACGAATATTATACACTTTTTGCATACGCAGAACAGTGCAAATATTTACAGATTCAATTACTTGAAAAGTTTAAGCCACACAGAAAACTAGAATTCAGATCCAACATTATTTTCCGTTAAAACACTCTAGTGTAATTGTTAATCAGAGACAGTATAAAAATCCTTAGAGTCAATTTTTGCCTTATTACACCTTTGTGATTTATATCACATTGATTGGTAACTGAGGGCAGAATTGATAGATCAGTATTAAAACTGGCAAACTGCTGGGACCTCAACTACTTAGAGATCAATACATCTCTAATCATCTTTATATGATTTAAAAAAAAATGTGATTATGTGCACCAATGAAATAATGTCAGATTACACAAAGTTTTCTGTTTGCATTACTTTTTCTATGATTTTATTTTATTTAATATTTGTCTCAACTGGAATGAATAATTAAACTTAATAGGAGCTTCTTACCCTGAATCTATTAGGAAAGGTTTTTCCTCGGAAATTACAAAAAACTGGACATCTTTTTTTGCTCACTTAGCTCTTGCTTTGAATATTTCTAGATTAAATAGCAACAGTTCACAAAGGGGCCAAAAATTTCAATTTAGGGTGCCTAAAATTAGGCTCCAAAAATCAATACTTACACACCTTAATAAAACTGGCTGGATTTTCAGAAGGGTTGAGCACCTACAAATCCCAAAGTTATTTTTACACTACTATGAACAAGTGAAAATAAATCATGAAGGTTGGCTTTGCAACCTTCACAATCAGCTTTTGCACTACAGTTGTAATCAACAATTATACTTTTGTACTTTTAGCAGCTGTTTTCTGTCACTGGTGACAGAACATCAACAATTTTACAAAAAAAGAGAACATACAATTCATAGTAACTACATTTGACTAATCCCCATCAGACTATGACAATCATTAGTTATCTGAGTACTTTGTAACAACAGAATACATAATATTGATTTAAAACAGCAAAATTACATAGTTTATTTTTTTCTGACAAAATAGTTGTTCTGATTTTACTTATCAGCTGAATGCATTTGGATTCCTTTAATTCTCCATCAGTGTTCTGCACATACAAGTTAATTTATCTGTATAAAGAAGTTGTGTGTAGGTATTTGAGAATATTCTTAATCTTGTTTCTTTTTTTTTGCCACATTTACAAATTACTTTTCCATTTGAAGTTGAGAGGTTCTTCATTTACTGGTAAGGGAAAAAAAAGTAAAACTGGCCAAATTAGTCATTGAAAACTACCATTTAAATGCTGGGTCTAAATACACATTTTTGGGGGGATGGAAATGAAAATATTAGCAATATGAAGTAATTCAAGAAGCTTAATTCTAACCACAGACACATGAAGTTATCACACCATATATTTCCTAATATGCATATTTTAAAGTCACAATGCTGTTCACTTGAATTCTGAAAGTTAAGGTAAAGTGTTCATTTTATTTATTTTAGCCAATTTGTGAATGTTTAACTATAACAAAACCAGATTTCAAGGATATAAACCATGTTATGAACAAATTTAATGAATATAAATTATAAAACTTAAGGAAAACACAATGGAACTTCTGAATATTAAGAAAATTTGGGCAACAGAACATGCAGTGTTTGTACAGTTTGTACTCAGTTTGAAAGTAACTCAAGACTGTAGGAAAGTCTCAGAGGGGTAGTTATGTGAATCTGTAACTTTAAAAACAATGAGTAGTCCTGGGTATCTTAGATACTAATAAATACAGCACCAGGGATATTCCTCCAGGGGCAGGGAGGCAAATGGTGAGCAGGGAGCTCATGCAATGCCGGAGCTCTGGTGGTTCAGCCAGGAGTATGGGAGAGGCTTAGGCACTGCAGGGAGCTCTGTGGCGAGGCTAGCAGCCCTGTGGCAAGGGGCTCAGGAGGCACAGCTGGTAGTCCCAGGGCTGAGGGGTCCAGCCAGGTCTGGCAGCACAGATGGCTGAAAGCAGTGAGGGCCAGCTGGGGCTCATGGGGAACTTCCCTCCCTACTCCTGAAGGAACAGCCCAGCAACAGCGCGGGGTAAGTAAGGCTTGCTTGGCCCTGTGTGCCCAGCAGGAGCGTGTGCCTGTGGGCAGAGAGAGGTGGCCACGCAATGGACTTCCAGGCAGGCAGGGCACTCAACTGCTATCCCTTGCCATTGCCCCAGCCTTACCTTGCAGGCCCCTACACTACATGCGTGGCAGTTCGTGGGACATGGGGGCGGGGGGAAGCACAGGCGAGAGGGTGTCAAATTCCCTGGAGAAGCATCAGTCAAGAGGCTCTGCTCCCAAAGAAGCGGGGAGAGGGAGATGGAGGTGTAGGCAGAGGAAAGGAAAAAGTTACATTGCAGCAGGGCCTGCTGCTGCTGCTGCCTGTTTGTGCTCCGTCTGTCTCTTCTGAGGGGAGGCTTCTTCCCAGTGGCTAAAGCTAAGCCAGCCGCAGAGAGTAGGAAAAGATTGGAGAGGGATGCAGGCTGGTTGTTTAGCAGGCTTCCTGCTTCTGATTTACTTAAGAACCATTTTGCTATTATTTTTTGAGTTTTTGGCTAGCTGTTCTTCAAACTCCTTTTTTGTCTTTTCTGTATTTACACTTAATTTGACAGCATTTATGCTCCTTTCTATTTTCCTCACTAGGATTTAAATGATGCCTTATCTCTCGTTGCTTCTTTTACTTGGTAGCTAAGCCACAGTGCCACTTTTTTTGGTTCTCTTACGTGTTTTTTAATTTGGGGTATACATTTAAGTTGGGCCTGCATTATGGTGTCTAGGAAAAGTTTTTATGCAGCTTGCAAGGGATTTTACTTAGGCACTGAACCTTTTAATTTCTGTTTAACTAATCCCATTTTTGTGTAGTCCCCCTTTCTAAATTAAATGCCACTGTGTTGGGCTGCTGGGGTGTTTTTTCCACCACAGGGATGTTACATGTTATTACATTATGGTCACTATTTCCAAGCAGTCCAGTTATATTTACCTCTTAGACCAGATCCTGAACTCCATTTAGAGGACTAAATTAAGAATTGCCTCTTTCCTTGTGGGTTCCAGAATCAGCTGCTCCAAGAAGCAGCCATCTAAAGTATCTAGAAATTTTATCTCTACATCCCATCCTGAGGTAATGGGTACCCCATAAATATAAGGATAGTTGAAATCCCACACTATTATTTAGTTTTTTATTTTGATAGCATCTCTAATCTCCCTTAGCATTTCATAGTCACTTTCACTATCCTGGTCAGGTGGTCGATAATAAGAATATAGCAGTAGGGATATATTATTAGAGCATGGAATTACTATCCATAAAGATTCTAAGGAACATTTTGGTTCATTTAAGATTTTTACTTCATTAGATTCTACATTTTCTTTCACATATAGTGCCACTCCTGCACCAGCACTACTCGTTCTGTCCTTCTGATATATTTTGTATCCTGGTATGACTGTGTCCCATTGATGGTCCTCATTCCACCAAGTTTCTGTGATGCCTATTATACCAATATTCTCCTTTAATACAGAGAACTCTAGTTCACCCATCCTATTATTTAGACTTCTAGCGTTTCCATATAAGTCATTTAAAAATTTGTCACTATTTATCTGTCTGCCATTTTCTGATGTGTGAAGACTCTTTTTCATTTGATTGTTTCTCATCTGATTTTATGCATATTTTATCATCTTCTATCCCTGAGACTCTGATCTTAGCCAAAAACTATCCATGTGTAATTCCCATAAATCAATTTATTAAAATACTGTAAGAAATATTTTATAAAAAGAAAAACTTACACACTTTTCCTTCTTTTTCTAATTTCCTTAAGTGAAGGGTGAGATTATTTTCTGCTGCTTTAAGTAAATTTTCAGGAGTATCCTAAATAGAAATACAATGAATATATGGTAATCCACTTGAATATCTGCTAGTAATTTCTCTATTTTCCTCAATAAACAAAAGGAAACTCTTCTATGTTCAGCTACCTACCTGTAGTAACACAGAATTGAAGTCATACTTAAATCTCCAGTTTAAATGATACATTTTAATTATTTTCCATTTTTGCATTATGTCTTAATTCAGAATAGCACATTTATTTCATGAACTGAGCCTATACTGGAATGTTGGTGTGCTTAGAAAAGTTTTTTTAGATTTTACTGATAATTTCTTAGATGTGATTCCCTCCCTTTGGCCTCCCACCAGAGAACTTACTTTTCCAAGATGATTACTCCTATTCTGGGATAATGTTTGAAAAAATATTGAAAAAGTCAAACAACTTAAAAATAGTTAATTCTTTAGTGCAAGTTATATAAACTCAAATTTCACAAGAGTTTCAGAACGACAGAGTATCTCAGGCAACTTCCCAGTGTTCCCTATCACAACTTATGCCAAATTTAACAATGTGTCCCAAAAAATGTCTTATTTTAGTATTTGGCCAAATATGAAGCTCAACAGTGGGCAGTTGTATTCCTTTTCTACTCCTCAAGGTTTTTCCCACAATTGCCAGCATTTTTTAAAATTTGAGGGGAATTTTTCCAAATATGCTATGGATTTGGCAGTTGGGGAGCTTGTGTGATCTAAATGGCTGGCTTGGTAAACCGTCCTTGTAAAAATAAATAATAGTAGTAAAACAGTTATCTCCATATTAAAAACAAAGTGCTATTGTAAAAATTAGTATAAATTAGTGACGGGAGAACTGATGAATGTTTGTGTAAAGCATCACAACTTCTGGGTACTTTCCTGAAGTATAGCCTCTCCTCGAGTTACGAATGAGTTACGGACCAAACACCTGGCCGTAACTCAAAATGTTCATAACTCGGACCCCATTGAGTTACATTGCAACTGCGCTGTTCTTAAGGGAGTTTTGATTGTAAATGCAAACTGTCGTAAATCGACTTTTCGCAACTCGGTGACCAGCTGTAATGGAACGTCTCCTTGAAACCACCTCTAATCACATAACTGTTCTTTCCACAATAGGCTCTGTCACCATAACCTATACTTGCCTTCAAAAGAGGGCGTAGAGGAATTTAAAATTCAGTGCATGTTACCCAGGCTTGTCTCCCATGTCTATCTGAAATTATATGGGAAACCCTCTTCTTCCACTTTTTCTACCCTTCTACACTTTTTCTGCTAGTGTGGACTCCGTGCCGCGTGTAGCCGCGCGGCACGGAGTCTGCACTAGCGGACATTTAAAAATGGCAGGGGCCGAAATCCCGGGCTTCATTTGCAACTCCGGTTGCCTACATTACCACCCTAGTTCGAATTAGGGTGGTAGTGTAGACATACCCTGTGAGAGAGAGGGAGCTACTGGCTCCCTTCTCTGCTCTGAGTTGATTTTCACTCTACAGCTCTTCAGCCTAGACTAGCTATTCAGATAGACCATAAGTACCTGTCTTCCTGATCTGTACTAGAGGCTACCATTACAGAAAAACCATTCCTAGGCTGCAGTAGATCCCAGTCTGCAGGAAGCAGACTAGAGCTTCAAACACCTGAGATAGTTTACAAAACTCTTTGTAAACCTTGGATGTTTACAGCCCTGATCACATTAGGAGTGTTCACAGCTATCATTTCCCCTCATAGCATCTTGTACTTTCCCTTCAGTCTAACCCAGTAAGTTTTTCCTGTAAGGAGCATCAGTAAAGAGTTCTCTAGTAGGGATGTGACCATGTAGTTGAAAACAGAGTTAACTAAGGAGCCTGGGTTCATTGGTTAACACTTTCGGTTACATTCAACAATCTCCTCCCCCCACCCCGCCACTGCCTTTCAGGGCTAGCCCGAGGCATTCTGGTGCCGTGGGCATGGGTGTGCGGTGCCACCCCTGGGTGCACGCGTGGGCCCACCCGTGGGGAGCAGGCCCGACCCCCTAGGGTGCGCAGGCCTGGCCCCGGGGCTGCTGGTGCACGCGCCGGGCCGTGTAAGACCCCGCGGCCATGGGGGAAAGGGCATTGCGGGCCGGCACCGTGGGGATGCGGGTGGGCCAGCGCTGCGGTAGCTGGGCGCGCGGCGCCTGATGGCAGCTGTAAGGGACGCCATGCGCCCCGTACAGCTGCCATCAGGCGCCCCCCATTGGTTGGGTGCCTGGGAAGCTGCCCGGCTCCGTCCAGACCTGCTGGCT